GATTATACGGAGATGATGGTATGTCCTATTCTGTGAAGCACCTTAGTGTCATGGGGTTGCTCTTCCCACTTTATTGAAGGAAAAAGACACAGAAACATATAAGCACAGTTAGAATAGTATCAGATAAAATAGCAATACACTTGGCAATCAGATCTCACTACTATTTGATCGTTAGAAGAAAGTCATCTGATGAATTATCAAAGACACAAAAGAAATCAGAGATTAGATCAAGCAAAATTGTCATTTCATTCTACTTCCATGTATTCAACAAGTATTTCTGAGCACTTAATATGTGCTAGGCAATATGCAGAAGCTTGGGATGTGATAATGACAGAAATACAATGTCTATCTTCATATGAAGTGACATATATGCAAGATATTCATTCTAGCAGTAATTCAAATAGCAAAATATTGGAAACAGCCTTTTTAATATGAGATTGATTAAGATAGATCCATATGATGGAATTTATGTAGTCCTAAAAAAAAAGTATGAACAGGCTTCAAACATTCTGGTAGTGGCAGGTTAGCAAACTCAGGCCAGCCTTTCTGTATGGGCTACTAAAAAATGCTGAACAAAATCATAAAAACAAATATCTTGAAAATGGTAAAGAGCAAGCAAGTCATGAGCCTGGGTGGCTCAGTTGGTTAAGTGTCCAATTCTAGATTTTGGCCCAGGTCATGATTTCACGGTTCATGAGTTTGAGCCCCACAACAGGCTCCACTTAACAGCTGGCAGTGTGGATCCTGCTTGGGATTCTCTCTCTCTGTCCCTCCCAGATCTCTCTTTCTCTCTCTCTCTCAAAATAAATAAACTGTAAAAAAAAAAAAAGAGAGCAAATAAGTCAGTGAGGAATTACCTAAAAATCTCTAATAAGTCATATACTGAAAGATGTTAAGCTCATCACACAAAACCCCATTAGTGTTGAGAAACTGTGAAATTGATGTGGCCTTTGGGACCTCGGAGGACCAGGGAGATATGTCAAAACCCAGGTTCACCCAAGGTAGAGAATCTGATAAACTAGCCCCCAATTTAAGGGAGGATCTGAATTAGCCATTGTGTCTTTTGCTGTCTGGACTTGTAGTCCCCTCAGTGGTCTAGATAACCTCACTTATCTGAAGGTGGTCCTGTCCAGGTGGTGCCCTCAGGCATCTGGCAATAGCAAATAAAAGACCTCTCTTGACAAAGTGCCATCATTCAAGATCTGTAATTATTCCTAAGTAATAGTCAAATACAACCATATAATCAAGGATAGCCAACACACAAATAAGGCAGGATGAGCAAGAACCAGGGGAATAATAGGCAACAGAAGCAGGTGCACAGCATGTGAGGTACTGGAATTACTGCGAACAAAATATCAAACAACTGTGGTTACTGTGTGAGAAGAGATTTTTTTAAAAAAGCTTGAAAATACCTATAGGAAAGAGGGAACTCTAAAAAATGATATAACAAATCTGAACAAAGAACCAAATACAATTTTTAGAAACGAAAAGTGTGATCACAGGCCAAAATTAAAACCAATGTAGATTAGACACAGCTGAGGAGAGCATTCATTAACTGGAATCAAGAATATAGCATGAAGATAGAAACAGAAGAGAAGGTAAAGGTAGAGTGAGAAGGTCCTACATTCCAACATCCCTTTATTTGGAATCCCAGGAGAGAGGAGTGAATGAGGTGGGGCATAATGTGAACATTTATATGTTTTTATAGCTAAAAAAACAAATTTCCAGAACAGGTTTGGGATTCCCCAAATCCACTGAATTCCAAGTAGCATAAATGCAAAGAAATCCACACCTAGCCATATTATTGTAAAACTGAAAGTAAACAGAGAAATCATCATAAAAGCAGCCAGAGATGGGTATACAGGATTTCTGTATTTTTTCCTATAACTGTGTGTGAATGTATAATTCTCTCAAAATGAAAAGTTTAATAATTTTTTTTTGAAAAGAAGTCTGGGAAAAATAGATGTATCTTGAAAATGAGCCATAGTTAGATTGACAGCTGCCTTCTGAAAGATAACAGCGGAAGCTGGAAACCAGTGGAAAGGTATCTCCAGTGTGCTAGTAGAAATCAACTGGCACCCTGAGTTCCATACTCAGCAAGGTCCTTTAAGAGTAAAGGTGAAAGGGGGCGCCTGGGTGGCGCAGTTGGTTAAGCGTCTGACTTCAGCCAGGTCACGATCTCGCGGTCCGGGAGTTCGAGCCCCGCGTCAGGCTCTGGGCTGATGGCTCAGAGCCTGGAGCCTGTTTCCGATTCTGTGTCTCCCTCTCTCTCTGCCCCTCCCCCGTTCATGCTCTGTCTCTCTCTGTCCCAAAAATAAATAAACGTTGAAAAAAAAATTTTTTTTTAAAAAGAGTAAAGGTGAAAGAACGCAATCAGTGAAAAGACGAATTCTGCTCAGTTAGGAAAAGATACAGAGGCAAACATATCCCATAAACTATTTGCCAGAAGTGGCATCCCATGCTAGAGACAAAAATAAACAAATGCACAAATAATCCAATGTCAGGTCATAATAACACATGTATCCTCAGCAGATAGCTGCATTTAGTGCTCAGCAGCAGCAACAGAGTTTTGCTCATTCAAGTTCTGTGCCAGACTTGGGAAGCATGCTTGCACCTACAGCCCCAAACCTTTTTTAGCATTTACTGGTGACCTCTTGACCTACCTAATCTCATCTGTTGATTTCTTTCTGTGTGACTTTTATTAAATCATCCATAGAGAAAAGAGCACATATCAGAAGTATATACTCAATGAATATCCCATGCTGACTGCACCTGGGTAACCAGCATCCTGAATCCCTCCATGTCCCTTGCAGTCCCTCTTTGACTAAGGCTACCAGCTGTCCTGATGCTAGCACCATGGATTTGCTTTGTCTGTTTCTGAACTTTATATAATGGAAATACACAGTACATGCTCAGTACATGCTCTCTGGGTTTTTTTTTACTCAGTATCATATCTCTGTCAGTGTTTTTTTTTTCATCATCATATTTCATTGTCTGACTATATCATAATTTATTTACCCATTCTATTTATGGATATCTGGGTCATTCCCACTATTCTTTTAATAAATTTTTTTTCTACTTAAAAAAAGTTTACTGAAAGTGAAGTAAAAACATTTCAGACAATCAAACTAAAAAGAGCTTAGCACCAGCATACTTAAGAAAAATGAAATTCTAAAGGATGTACCTCACATAGATGGAAAATTATCCTAGACAGAAGGTCAGAAACACAAAAATAAACGAAAAACAAAGCAGTAAATATTTGTATAATTCTTAATGAACATTGATTATATAAAGCAAAAATAATATTTTGTGGGAGGTTAAAATAGAGTGAATTAAAATATATAACAATTGATAACAAAGGCATGAAAGTCAGGAGTGTAGTAAATGAAATTAAATTGTTACATAGGTTTTGTATTGCCGTGGAATAGGGTAAAAGTATTGACTAACAGTAAACTTTGATAAGCTGGGGATGCACATTGTAATTTTTAGAATGAAGGAAAAGAGAATGGAAATAGAGTGCGTAACCTGTAACTTAGTAAAGGAAAAATGAAGTCCTAAAAAAAAGGTCAGTAAATCCAAAGAGAGGAAACAAGGGAGAAAACACAAGCAGAAGCAGATTGAAAGCACACTGTAGAATAGTAGATTTAAATCCAACTATATCAGTAATTATGTTAAATGTAAATAGACTAAGTAGTTAAAAGATGAAGCTTTTCACAAACATCAGAAATATAAGGATATAAAAAACTAATATTATTAAAATTTGATGGAAAGGTATAGCATGTAAATACTAATCAGAAGAAAGCTAGTCTTTATGGTAAATAACATTTCCGAACTAAAGAGGGTTAGCATTTTATAGTGCTAAAAGATTCAGTTCACCAAGAAGATTCAAATGCATATTCTATGACCCCACAATCCCATTCTTTGGCATATACACTAGAGAAACTCCTAAGGACAAATGTGCAATAATGTTTAAAGCAGTTTTGGGTTTTTTTGTAAATAATCAGACACTGGAAACAATGGGAATATCCATCAGCAGGAGAATAGTTAGTAAATACACAGTTAAACAATGGAATGCTATATAGCAGCAAAAAAGAATTATGCATGGCAGCTTGAACGAGTATTACAGAAGTAATATTGAGTTTTAAGAAGCAGGGGATAAAAGAATATATGCATATAATTCCATTTAGATCAAATTTGAAAGGAAGCAAAACTAAGCCATATTGCTCAGGGATGCATACAAATGTATAAAAGCAAAGATGTTATTACTATAAAAGTCAGAGTAGGGGGGCGGGTGATTTAATCAAAAGGAGCCATGGTGGAGGCCCCTCTGGGATGCTGGCAATATTCCATTTCTTGATGGGGTGGTGATAGCTTGAATATTTTCTTTATGTATATTAATGTTTTATGATCATCAGATACCCCTTTTTGGTTCGATTTTCTAATTATGTTGTTTGATGTACTTATTAAAATTTGTAATTGGGTTTTGTTGGTGATCAGTTTTTGGCTTGCTTTCCTTATTCTTCTATTTAAAAAAATTCTTAGGGGTGCCTGAGTGGCTCAGTCAGTTAAGCATCTGACTCTTGATCTTGGCTAGGGTCTTGATCTCAGGATTGTGAATTCAAGCCCCAAATTGGGTTCTGTGCTGGGTGTGGAGTCTACTTAAAAAAATATTGAGGTGTGTGAGTAGCTCAGTTGGTTAAGTGTTCGAGTCTTGACTTGGCCTGAGGTCATGATCTCACAGTTCGTGATTGTTGAAGCCCCACATCAGCACAGAGCCCACTTGGGATTCTTTCTCTCTACCCCTCCTCCATTGGTGTGCACACACGGTCTCAAAATAAAATTTTTAAAAATCTTAAGTGAATATTAGAAAAAATGAAATGAATGCTCTCAGTGCTAAAGGCAGCAATATGTTCCATGTGAGAATATAAACAAAAGGCTAAGGTATTACATATATGATCTGTTGAAAGTAACACTGACCTCTGTTTTCTTACATTTACCAGGTTAACTTTGAGGAATTTAAGGAAGGTTTTGTGGCAGTGTTGTCATCAAATGCTGGTGCTGGCCCCTCGGATGAAGACAGTAGTTCCTTGGAATCTAGTAAGAGGACTTTCTCTACTCACCTTAAGTTTTTTTCATTATTTATCTGTTACCTTCAGGAGTGTGGTATTCAGACTGAAGGATATTGGTAGGTCTGAGAATTAAATCCTAACTCCACTGTCTGACTGCCAAGCTGTGTGGACTGGGATGAGACATTGGATTTTTTTCTTCTTTTGTTTCCTTATTTGTCCATAGTGTTGGAAAGGAAAAGCTCTATTGCTTTCCTTTACACATAGCACCTCTGAATACTTCTGGCACTTCTGGTCACCAAATGTGTGGTAGTTTGTTCCACACCAGGCAATTCCCCAGCACCATCTAAGTGTCCTACATTGCAACTCAACCCTGACATTACCTCCCTGGAGATAGCCTTAGTCCTACAAGATGGCCCCCACTTCAGATGCCAGTCACAAGTCCAGCTTGTTGCCTCTCTTTCTGATTGGTTGTAAGTCAGAGATTCCCACAGCCCCTTCCTTGGGTTCAATTCATTTGCAAGAGCAGCTCATAGAAATCAGAGCAACAGTTTACTTACTAAATCACTACTTTATTATAAAAGGATAGAACTTGGGAACAGCCAGATGGAAGAGGGAGGGGCACAGGGCAAGGTGTGGGGAAAGGATGGAGAGCTCATGCCCTCTCACCACACACCACTCTACCCCAATCTCTGTGTGTTCACTCCAAAAGCTCTCTGAACCCCATCCTGTTGAGTTTTTATGCAGGCTTCATTACATAGGCATGATTGATCAAACCACTGGCTATTTATGACTGAATGCAACCTCCAGCCCCTCCCACTTCCCTGGGGGTCAGGTGTGGGGCTGAAAGTTCTAACCCTCTAATCACTAATCACATGGTTGGGTGTCCAGGCAACCAGCCCCCATTCTGAAGGGCATTCTAGGAGTCACCTCATTAACATAAACTCAGGTTTGGTTGCCAGGGATGGGGTGAAGACCAAATATATATTTATTATAAATCACGGTATCACAGGTGTCAAATAATACTGCGTGCTGTCCTTACAGCATGAAGTGTTGACAAGATAAAGTAGAACTTTATATCTTCAACTGTGGAGCAGTTGAAGTTTCAAGATTTGAAAGCTCAGTGCAGACATAAGGTACATCTAGACCACTGAGGTTGGCAGAACAGATAGGATGCCACCAGCCTTGGGAAGATCTGACCGGGGTGGGAACCATTACATGACCAGCAGTCATTTGCAGATGTATCTTATGTCAGGCAGTAGTGTTGTGCTGTGCTGACATGCCTGTCATGGGAATGGGGCTGGAGGGACAAAGATAGAATTTCCAAATGGAAGGGACATCCTGAGGAGGAATGCCCCCTGGCTTTGGGAATGGTCAGGAGGTGGAGGGAGGGTTTGGAAAGAGGTCCACTCAGGGTCATGTAGGTTGTGGGTTGAGGGTCAGAAGATGATGATGGACATTCTCAGTGCCTGTTCCATTGGACTTCAGGCTGTGAATGACAGCCACTTGATGTGCTTCAGACCCATCTTGGCTACCTGTGGTGAGTATTGGGCAGTGAGTGAAATAGGGCATGGGGCAATGTGTTTGAGGTTGGAGCTATGGTATTGATGAGATCGAGGAGGGAGCTCTTTTCCTTCTGGTCCACAGCAGGCTCCTCCCACAGTGGACCCTTGGTCTAGAGCAGATGCATGACCAGATAACAGGGATAATAGTGGGAGAGCTTGGGGCAGGGGAATGGGGAGTGGAAAGGATGATACCTCACATCAGTTGTCTTCAGTATGCCAGGCTCACAGAATCCTGTGGCATTATCATACCCATTATTCAGATGAGGAACTGAGGGCTGATGTGTGAAGGGATTTGTCCAAGATCCCACATAGATCTTGGAACTGTGGCCAAGATTTGAGTTCCGGTTTTCCTGTTGTAAGCACTGGGCCCTTGTGTACACAGTGTAGCCAGAACCCGCTCCTTCAGCTGGCTGCTAAAGGCTACACGGCACCTGGGTATAGTGTAGAGAACCCTGCATGACCCCTGGGGCATTCGCTGGTCACTTTGTCTGACACTGTTCTTCTGAAAGAGGTGAAGAATGCCACAGGCCTTTACTAACACAAGATTTGGGAATGTGGCATGTGATCGTGGATAGGAATGGAAGGGCGATGCCCAGGGTCCCTGACACTATATATGCTCCTCCCATGCTAGAGAATGTGTGGAGCTTCTAAACTTAAAACTAGATCTCTGGCATGCACTCAGTTTCTCCAAAGAGTTAAGAAAGTATTCTAGGACTTGTGGTTTTTCCCCCCTCTTCTTTCAATTCTTTTGTTTTCTTTGCCTTTTTCTTTTCTTTCAGATCTCAAAGCTGTCCTCAATTAAATGGTCATATGTGTGGCCTGAGACTCCTTCCCTTCATGGCAGATCAAGGGGACATCAGAGCCCCTCTGATTTTTCGGCACTTGGTTTCCCAACTGTGCCCCAGCTTCCCATTTCCTGCCTGATACGACTTTCCTTCTTATACCCCCTCAAGGTGGAAGGAGGATTCTTCTCCCACCCACATCAGCCAGCCCACAGCCTCTCTGTAACCAGAAACGATGCTCATATGCAAGAGCCCAAATTCACTGACTTTCACTTACCCTTTTGGCAGCTCTCTGGTGGGAGCCTTTCTCCATATTTGTAGTTTGCCCCTTCTGAACACTGCTGGGTTGCTCCCTCTTTTTTTCTCTCTGCTGGCTTGGAAACTTTGCCCTCCTCTTCAGTACATCACGTGCCTGTTGTCCCAGGCTGATTGGTATAATTTATGATTACCTTCAAGTGTCCCAGTGAGGTGAGACATGCTATAGTCACCCTGCATATTGTCAGCTGTCTTAAATGTCATGCTGTCACTTCATAGTCTGCACATCCCACATGGAACTTGGCATCTTCCTCCCTAAAACTCCTCCCTCATCCCCAGTGTCTGTCTGTCACTGGCATCACTATACTTTCAGTTGGCCAGGCTGGACCCAGCCCCTTCCTCTGATGTGGTCTCAAGGTCAGGAGTCAGGGGTCAAGGTCAGGGGGGATGGAAGAAAGGAATGATGTGGTACTTGACTTAAAGAAGCATGACACCTTTCAGTGAAATTCTGTTTTCCTGGCCTGGAATTACTTCATTGGATCCTATGCTTTTCTTTCCAGCTGGCCCATGCTGGCTGCTTCCCTCTGAACCTATGTCGTGTCCTGGCTGCTGCCCATGATACCCTCTCCAAGTCTGTTTCTTACTCACCCAAATTCCTCACAGAGTCAGTATCATTTCTTCTCTCCCTGAGAGGTCACATTGGGTACAAATGTGAACAGGTAAGGAGGGAAGAAGGAAATGCAAAGGGCTATTAGGGTTTAAGAGATTCTCATGAATCCCAGACTAAAACTCATGCCTGCCTTTGCCCCAGACTTCAGACCAGCAGAGTTTGAGCCTCCCTTGGCTGTGTGTGAGGTCCATGCCCACAGCTCCCTGACAGTCCTGTCCAGATGGGGTCCTGAAGTAAGCAGGGTAGGAAGTGACCTTCTGGTCTCTAGAACAGTATGTTGCTGGAATATTGGAGGGTTTTTTTTTCTTTGTATAAAAAGCTATTAGTATTAGTCTCTTATTATGTAAACAAAAAGTCTTTTTGTATTAGTAGTAGTCTTTTACTACATAAAAGCAGTATGCTCAGAAAACTTTAAATAGCACGTAGAGTTTAGAGTAGAAAGTCCCCATCTCCCAGCCTGGGTTTCTCAGTTCCCTGCCTGAGGAATAGATTGACCACTGTTAACTGCTGTCTGTGTTCTTCCAGACATTTTCTGTGTGCTTCTGTGAGAGCTACACTCTGTATCTTGAAATGTGTTCTGCAGTGTGCACAGACCATCCGCTCCCTGTCCCCCCCCCCCGACCCCCTCCACCAAACCTCATATTTTCTTTCCAGCTGCCTCACGTGCTGTCCCGCCAAAGTATGTGAGTGGCTCTAAATGGTATGGTCGCTGGAGCTGCCCTGAGCCTGAGCCATGTGGCTCTGCAACAGGAGCCAAATGTTTACCAGAACAGCAGGCGAGGGCCACTGGGAGAGGCCAGCTCTGCCGCTCTGCATCTCTGGAAAGTGTGGAGGTGGGTCCGAGTTCCTCCTTTCCCCACCCTAGGCCACCATCTCATTTAGTCATTGTGACATGACTATAAGAGGATGTGAGGGGCAGGTGGGCATTTCTGGGCATCTCAAGTTGCCAGAAACAAGGGTGCATTTTGGGGAATGACATTTCATTCTAAAGTCTGGGGTGCCTGGGTGACCTAATTGGTTAAGTGACTGACTCTTGATTTTGGCTCAGGTCATGATCTCATGGTTCATGAGATCTAGCCCCATGTTGGGCTGCATGCTAGGTGTGGAGTTTGCTTGAGGTTCTCTCCTTGTCTCTCTCTCTCTCTCTGCCCCTCCCCCCCTCATTCTCTCTGTCTCTCTCTCAAAATAAATAAATAAACTTAAAAAAAAAAAAAAAGAATTGTTAAAGTGTCTCTGGGTCTGTCTGCAGGGAATTCTGGCCAGAGTGTACTTCTTCAGACATTAGGGCAGTGGAGAATTTGTGCTGAAATCACTTGTTTCTTTCCCACTCCTGCTTATCACCACCAACTTTCCCCCCACCACTGTGAGAAGGCTGTTTTTTATGGTTTCATAAGAGTGAGAAAAGAAAGAAAGATGCCTTTCTGGTGCCCTTGTAAGGTTAGGAACTTGGAAGTACCAATAGGCCCATGGTCCCACCTGTCTTGAACACTTGGAATATACCAAGAATATACCACTTACAATTTGGCAAACATGTGCTGAGACCTCCCAGGGCTCTGAGGGTTGATTCTATCCCCCCATGTCCCTAAATTGTTCACTGCTGCCGAGATACTGCAGAAGATGGTCTGCTGGAGCCTTACAGCCTTCATGTCAGGAAATATCCATGGGGCAGATCCATAACTTTCAAGTTAACTGTGGAGTCCTTAGACTTATTTTCAAGAATTCCAGAAGGTTCCTGGTTCCTACTCTCTGTGATGTCCATTTTGTTAGGTGGGGCTTTATGGGGACTTATCTTCAATAAGACCCTCACATTAATTTGATTACATGTTCAGCATTTGTTGAGGCAAGCATATCTATTTAAATCCTAGAGTTTCTTTGCTCAGGGACATGCTATGCCTGGGTAATACCAACAAATCCCAGGCATTCACTTTTTTATCGTTTTTAACTTTGGTCTGCAGGGATAGAGGTCTAAGGAGTCTGCTCTATCTCCATTATGCTGTTCTGCTTTTTAAAACCATCTTTGATCCCTGGAACTAGAACATGGAGGAATGCTGTTTTTAGGGTTGTCAGTTGGGCTGAATGCATTAGAAAAATGGGACATACCACCTGCTCCCAGATTCCACTCTCACTTCAGTGCTGGCTCTGAGGAGTGCTGAGTCTTGGCCAACTTGGCATTCCTTCCAGAGTCAGATGTGGGATGCATAGCACCTGTCGGAAGCAGACTTTGACTTTGTAGTCAGCCAACTTGGCCACAAAAACATGAGGTTTTTACTTGAGTCAAGTGTTTCTTTAATTTTTTTTTTTTTTTTTTAAGACAGACAAAGCATGAGCGGGGGTGGGGCAGAGAGAGAGGGAGACAGAATCTGAAGCAGGCTCCAGGCTCTGAGCTGTCAGCACAGAGCCCGACGCGGGGCTTAAACTCACGAACTGTGAGATCATGACCTGAGCCAAAGTTGGACACTTAACCAACTGAGCCACCCAGGCGCCCCACAGTCAAGTGTTTCTTGATGGCCCGCCCCCTTCAGGGTACAGCTTGCAAAGGGCACTGAGGAGTCAGTGCTTGCTATGTATCATGCTGTCCCTGGAGCTTCTGGAGGGACAGGGAGAACTACTGTCCCTCCAACTGTTTGCTGAACTGATCTGGATGATAAGGGACAGGGTACAGAGAAGTGAAGACCATCAAGCTTGAGCAAGATAATGTCGTGCGGTGGAAGGTTGACCATACTCCCTGGCCATTCCTCTCCAGTGCTGGTGTGCGAAGCCAGCACCACAAGGAGGTGTTGGTTTGGGGAGCATTTTTCATTCCTGTTTGGGTACAAGTGCTTGATTATGTTTTTAGTGTTAACTACTGATGACTTGGTTTATGTTGAGGAGCCTCATGTGTCTCTGTGTCTACATTGTAGTGCTTGGTCTGTGAGAAGGAGCTGTTCTGTGCCTGTGCCTCACGGCTTGGTGCAAAGGCCATCTGTAGGTGGGGGGTTTTGCCCAAGGAGCTGCATCTCACCAGCTGTTTGTCCTCTTCCTCAGTCCCTACCTAGCTCCAAAATATATCCTTCTTTTCGTTTTTCTACAGAGTCTCAAGTCAGATGAAGAAGCTGAAAGTGCTAAAGAACCTCAGAATGAGTTGTTTGAAGCACAAGGTAAAGCCACAGACTCATGATTGGTTCTCCCTATCTTTGATCAGTGCTTTGAAGTTCAAGGAGCTGGCTTGTTGGTCGGTGAGCCAGCCATGTGTAATTTCCTGGGAAGCATGCAGAGTGGGTGCTGTATCTGGTGGGCCCCTTCTCCAGACGTGGTCCCATCCAGGAGGTAGTCTCTTGGTGCTCAGCATCCCCTGAGGTCAGATCCTTGGACAGAGGCCCCTGGCCAAGGGAGCAGTATGGTTGGGCCACATCTCGCAATCTGTGAGGACCAGCATGACCCCAGGTGGCAGGCATGGCCTGAGGTCCCAGGCCTCTTGCACTCCCTTCTTAATGTGCCAGACCTGGGCACATCGTCTTCCTGGCTGTGTGCAAGCAGTCTTGGCAACCTCCAGTGGCTCTGTGTCTGTGCTCCAGATAAAGTAGCAGTTGTGGTCCTGGCCCCCAGGAGCCTTGCAGGGGCAACTGGAAGGCAAAAGCAGGGGTACATAAGATAGCAGTGTGCCCACATGTGCGTCTGGGGATGCTTTAAACATACCTCCCACACAGAGGAGAAAGTGCAGAAACTTTACTTGGAGAGGGAGACCACAATTGACCTTTTGAATTTCTGCTGCAGTAAAAAATCAGCAGTTGGAACTGAGCATGATCTAGATTGTGATCCTCAAGGACGAGAGCCATTGTTCAGTGTTTAACTTAGTGGATGTCAGGGGAACTGACCTGAGCGCCCACCTTAGCTGTTGGACAAAGCACATAGATAAGGAAGAGCAGCCAAGTGATCACATCTTAACCGTCTTGGTTTCAATTCTAAATCTAGGGTAGGAAAGGAAGGTTGTGCACAGTGCAATTTTGGGTCTCTCTGCCTGCAGAGCAGGTTGGGTTCTTCCTAGCCTCGAACAGAAACCTTTTCACTGGGTTAGAATTGACAGTGTGCATGAAACTCACATCAGACCTCAGAGGATTTATTTATCTCCTTTGCCATTCCTGAGAAATAAACCCTAGTATCAGAGGTGCTTTTATGCTTTTACTTAGAAATTTCAGACACTTTATGCTGGAAGAGATTTCAAAAAAGGCATTTTCCAGGGTGCGTGAGTGGCTCAGTCGGTTAAACATCTGACTTCGGCTCAGGTCATGATCTCTCAGTTTGTGAGTTCAAGCCCTGCGTAGGGCTCTGTGCTGACAGCTCAGATCCTGGAGCCTGCTTCAAGATTCTATGTCTCCCTGTCTCTTTTCCCCTCCCCTCCCTCAAAAATAAACATTAAAAAAAATTTTTTAAGGCATTTTCCTCAACCCAACACAGTGTTGTTCATGAGCACACAGGCCTGGCTTTCCTCAGGAAAAGTGACTTTCTTGTTCTTAGTTGGGCTATCAAAGTAATTAATGTCAAAGTAGCCCATTACCCAAGCTGCTGATGGGGAATTTCAGTCATGTGGAGTCTGATCTGCCTCTCTGTGTCAGGCTGGGTGGCGTGGACTGACTGTAGAGGGAATGTCTGGCTTGAAGCATGGCTCATCCATGATGGCTTCTCACGGGCACCCCCAACGTCTGTCCATTCCACAAGTTGTTTCTCTGGCAAAGCTCAGAAACATTAGTTTCTGAAATTTATTTTTTAAAAACTAGGGGTTTTTTTTGTTTTATTTTGTTTTGTTTTGTTTTTTGTAAATACAAATAATGCAGCCCTCTTTTATATGCTTCCAGTGGTCTGACTTTAGGAGGTTCCTTTGAGAAAAAGCTTTCCCCACATGGACCAGAGGTTCCTCCCACCCCCACCTACATTTTATTATGAAAATTTGGAAACACAGAATGAAGATGAAAGAATCGTATTGTGAACAGCCATGTACTCATCACCTAGATTCCACCTTTGATGCTTCACTACTCAAGTGTGTCCACCTGCCCATCCATCTGATTTCAGAGTCAGTTGCCAGCATTGGTATATTTCCCCTAAGTGCTTCTACCTGGACATCAGGTTTACCTGTCACTCTTCCTGCTTCAGGCCAGCTGCCAGCTTGGGGTTCTGAGGTCTTCAGATGCCTCCAGAAGCCCTGCAGCCTCTCCCTGGACACCCCTGAGAGCCGGGTTCGTGGCATCTGGGAAAAGCTAGGTGTTGGCAGTAACGGCCACCTCAGTGAGCAGGAGCTGGCTGTGGTCTGCCAAAGCATCGGGCTCCAGGCACTGGAGAAGGAGGTGAGAGGGTCTGAGGCAGACCACACTCAAGGACAGGTTCTTTGTGGTGGTCAGGTTGCTGTTGCATCTGGAGAGTCCCTTCACCCTCCAGACACTGATGTGGTTGTACTACTTTGTGGTCTAAAGTCCTCTGGTAACTCCCAGTGCTTCTGCTGAGGTCTGCGCCCACACATGTCATGTATGGCCTGCCTCACCAGCTTCTGAGCACCTTCACTTATGACCCTTTCTCTGCCTGGAGTGCCCTTTCCCCTTCCTGCATTGCCCAACCCAGATGTTATGCCCTCTGAGGCAGGCTGCACTCCCTTGCAGGGGCCAAGGGGAGAGGGGTGGGCAGTGGTGATGTGATGGGGAAGTGCCTCCTTAGTAAAGTTCCCCTTAGTCCTGCTGTCCTTGCTGTTCTCTGAATTGCTGGGGGCCCAGGACCCCCTCCATATGTATGTCTTCTTCCTGCCATCCAACAAGTTACTCTGAATGGGTATTTATGGAATTAGGAAGTGCAGGTGGCACCCCTTCACAGCAGGGTGGAAACTGACCAGGTATGTAGATGTCACAAGACAGAGTCGGGGGACATCAGGTGTGTCCCAGGTGAGTTTGGTAAGGACAAGCAGACTGCCCAGGGAAGGCCTGGGTGGTGGTGACTGGCATGCAGCTGCTTGTGGGTGGGGCCTCAGCACAGGTGTGGCGGCTTTTGTCTAGGAACTGGAGGACCTGTTTAACAAACTGGATCAAGATGGAGACGGCAGAGTGAGTCTTGAGGAATTCCAGCTTGGCCTATTCAATCACGGGCCCACTTCACTTCCAGAGTCTTCCACTCCCATCAAACCGAGCATGTCCTGGTCTCATCACCAGGTAAAATGGGATGATTAAGCTTTGAACCACAGCAGCAACTGCTGTCACTCTGGCCTTCATCATCTTCACAGACCTGGGAGTTGGTGGGAGTATGTACACATACATGTGTGAGTGGGAGGCCATGTGATTTAGATTCTAGAATCACACAGGTCTTCTGCTGATCTGGCATTGCCCCTCCCTAACTGTGTATCCCTGAATGAGTTACTTGCCTTCTCTGAGCTTCAGGCTCTTCATCTGTAAAATGGTGCCTACCTCATAGGGATTTTATGAGGATTACATGGCAGTTCCTCGATTTTCTCCTCAAGAAGCCTATCCCAGTGTACCTTCCATTAGAAGAGCTTCTTCTCTCCTCCCCATTGTGGTGCAGTGAGAGCATTCTGTACCTTCCCTAGGAGTAGCTCTCCAGGTACTCCTTTCCTTGTACTCTCCCTTTGTTGTGTTCCTGAATTTTATCTCTCATCCAGGTCTCTGCAGATGGAGAAGAGCAGATTTTAGGCGGTTATTTAAATTGTGATCTCATTTGCTGACCGTTGGCTTAGCATTTGGTTTTTCTCCATCCCAGGAGAGGAGAACCTCCCTCTTCCACCACAGGGCAAGGTTCTCTGGGGGAGTCTTGCCAACACTTCTCTGCTGATGTGGCTGATCCTGTAGTTTGTAGGTGGCAGTACAAGATGAGTAATGTTGTTTTCTGCTGCACTAGGTGTAATCTGAGAGTCCCATTTCTGAATCTAAACCTGATGAGAATGGAGAGAGAAGAAACTAGGAGTGTTAAAGGAAAGTGTCAGGCCATGTAAGGTCAGAGGCCATGAAGTCCCACCAAGTCATGCTTGGAGCCAGTGGAGGGAGGGTGCCTCCTCTGTGGTGGAGCTGCCCTTGTTCCTGCGTCCCAATGAGGAAGCACAGCTGGACAGGACTCTGAGCCATGGGGCGCAGGAATGAAACCAGGCAGGACCCACCTCTAGTCAGATGCAGGTGCCCAAGGAACACCTGACTACCCAGGAAGTGCCCTGAGCTAACACAGCTGCAGGTGGAGGGTGTTGCATCCTGTGTGTGTGGACTCTTGCATGGCATGGTGGTGCTGGGCCCTCAAGTATGTGGCCCAGCACCCCCCCCCTCCTGCTACACCATGACGTGCCTGTCCCCAAGTTCACAGTCCTCACAAAGGAATCAGGTGCGAGGGAGACAAGGGTGGTCCAGGTGCATTTGGCTATCTGAGCTTCTCCACTGTGGCCATGGCATGTTTCTGACCATTCTTGAGCTGTCTGTCCTCTCCCCTTTTGTAAATGGAGTCACATGCCTACTTTGTAGGGCTGTACCTAGCACAGCTTTAGTAAGCACCCAGTTTCTAAGTGTTTATGAAGAGATAGGGATATGGCTGAGAACAGATGAGAGCATATGGGCCTGTGAGTACCTGCTGAGGTAGTGAGTGCCAGGAGGGAGGTGCTGGGCTGGGAGGGGGTGTCAGAGCAGAGCCCTGGAAAGTGCCCAGCCATGGAGCATTGGGGGGGAAGTGTTTCAGGCAATGAGAAAAGCCTGGAATGTTTGGGAATATCAGAGACTCCTTTGAGGGGAGTTGAGAGGAGGCCAACAAGGAAAGTGTTCCCTGGGGGCGGTGGGGGGGGGGGTGGCAGAAGCCCCAGTGGCCAGAAGGAAGGGACTGTTTTTCCTCATTCTTATAGCCCCAGATAGCAAATGCTGGTTCTGAAGAGAATGCCAGCCTGGGGCAGAAAGCAGTCTTGCTTGATGGATTCTCATAGCCCTTAAGCCTAGCAGGTCAGCTTTCTGGCCAAGAGATTTTTTTTCCCCTTCCTCTTAAAATTCTCCAATTCTGTCAGCTTTGAGATGTGTTTCTGAGGCCTGCACAGATGGGTGACTTTGTTTGGGCCTCTTCTTTTAAGCCTGTCTTGGGTTTCTTTCCACAGGCTGGATTTCTGAGCATTGGCATGTGCCTTCTCTAGCTTTTTGAGGCCGGGTGCACACCAGTACTGATTTGGGAGAGAGAGGTTAAAACCCCTTCATGCCTCCCACTAAGAAGCTCTTGCTGACATGTGAGGCCACACGGGTGTTGGAATGTGTTCCTTGGACCAAGCCTCGGGTAGACAGTAGGAAAGCAGGCACCAGGGTCTTAGAGAAGGCAATAGGCTGGGTGTCCGGATCTCTGGGTTCAAATCCCCACTTTGCCACCTGCAGAGCCGTGCAGTCTTGGGCACACTGTGAGATGGTGCCGTGCCTTTGTTTACTAGTCTGGGAGACAGAGCTAATGGTCACTGTGTGAGCTGTTCTTGACAGACCTCAAAGAGACAGTGAAAGGTTGAGCACAGGCTACTGAAGTTGGAAAATACTAAAAATAAACAAGAGGCACTTCCACTTTCTCTACACACAGGTCCTGGAGGAGGGCAGCTGCCAGACTGCCACAACATCATCCCTGGTGTCTGTGTGCTCAGGCCTGCGCCTCTTGTGCAGTATTGATGATGGCACCGGCTTTGCCTTTCCTGAGCAGCTCATCACCCTGTGGGCCCAGGAGGGGATTCGGAACAGCAGAGAAATCTTGCAGGTCTGGAACTGGTCACTCACAGCCACCCTGGAGGGAGCATACAGGCAGCATGGGGCCAGCAGGGGACCTCAGGGCCCTTTGCTCTCAGAGGAGGCTGGACAGAGAATCCCACAGACACACAGGGCCTGCACTCTCTGGGGGAACCCCATGTAGGGAAGGCCTGTTAGAATCATTTTCCTCTTTATTTTTTTTGCCATTAAAATATAAGAAATTTTAACTTTAAGAGATAATAAATAAGCAGAGAAAACAAATCTGAAACAAATCCACTTGAAGGTAGGTTTCGGTATCTTAGACATTTCCCTCAGTACATTGTTAGCCTTGTAGATGTTTTGCTTACCTGGACAATGGCAGTCCATCCCAGACGAGGGGAGAAAATTTCCTACCTTGTGGTAGAGACGTCTTACTGGATGTCACTGTCCCAGTAGTCTGAGTGTTTCCATTTTGTGGAAGATGAGCTCCATAGTGAACCCAAATTCTGCCCAGAGCTGCTGCCTGGCTGGCCAAACTCTTCTCCCCTCATGGCCCTTGCTTGCCCGGACCCCTTCCTCCACCGTGTTGGGTGTGGAGGTACACTGCCCTGCTGCCTCCTCCCGAGTTCCTGCATGCTCTTCGGGGGGTTGGCCCACAAGACTGTCTTCAGATGGGGTCAGGCCTCTTCTGAGGGCCAGTCCAACCTCCCCCAGGGACACAGGGCCAGACCCCTGGGGTTTGAAGGGAGCTTGCTCTGGGGCAATCAAGCCAGTTGTGCACAGGGGCTGGACAAGGGTAAGAGAAGAATACTGGGGAAAAGTGTGTGTGTAAGCTGGACTGCTGATCTTCATTTCCAAATTTCACTTTGTGTTGTTAAAAAAAAAAAAAAGTCAACTGGGGGAGCCTCAGTTGGTTAAGCGTCCGACTTTGGCTCAGGTCATGATCTCATAGTTCGTGAGTTTGAGCCCCACATCGGGCTCTGTGCTGACAGCTCAGAGCCTGGAGCCTGCTTCAGATTCTGTGTCTCCCTCTCTTTCTGACCCCCGCCTGCTCTCACTCTGTCTCTCTCAAAAATAAACATTAAAAAAAATTTTGTTTAAGTGTCAACTGTACACAAAATCATAAAGTAATAAAGCCTGCCCCCTTTTGCTCCCATTCTGTAGGAGTAGCAACACCTCACGGCTCAGTGGGAGTTTTTGCAGAGCTTTTCCCCAGCACAGAAAAGAAATATATATTTGGATATTCCAGCTTTAAAATTTTTTTTTGCAAAATTGGTATACTGTATATCTTGTTAATTTGTTACCTTTTTCCTATCATTGGACATGTAGATTTTTTTTCTGTTCTAAATCTTGTTTAGATTATATATCCTCCTGTTCCTATGCTGGTATTTCTTGGTAGGCTAGATTTCTGAAGTTACACATTTTAACTCTTGGTAGGCTTTTTTATATTGCCTCTGAAAATGTCCTTATTGGCACAAACTAACAGTTCACAGAGGAGCCCAATGACAACGTTTAAGATAGTCCTCCTGACACTTTGGGCGAGGCCCTTTTGGGCCTAGCCATTGCTGAGTGTGGCCACCCAGCAGCCTGGGCAGAGCCTGGACAGTAAGGCCAGAACTGGGTACCTGGCCCTTGGGAGAGCTGGAGGCTGAGCCCTAGTTACTAGATTGGCTCCCTGAGAGGGCAAAGAGCAAAGAGATTCACGGTTTTGAGATTCTCCCTGAAACTGTATTCCTGATTCCCTGTCATTTGGAGGTGGGCTGGCTGCCTTTAGAGCATGGTGAGTCTCAAATTTGCCTCTGACACTTCATAACTTACCCTTTTTATTGCTTTCCTGCTGTCAGAGAATATTTCCATTTCCTTAGCAATTTGTAATTTACTAGTTGCATTGAGGATTTGCTTCCATTTGGTTGAAGGGCAGAGGTGTTTACTGAACTCTCAGCACTTGGCACCAAACAAGGACCTGTGAAGTTTGTGACATTGTTTACTCTTCACTCAGTGTAGTTGTTTCTCACGTGACAGATGAGGTCACTGCCTGAGCCCACATAGCCAGGGCGGGAGCAGCAGTGAGTGGGGCAGGCCTTCTGGGTATCCTGGTATGTCAGGTGGGGCCCTTCCTGCCTGCGACGCTCTCAGAAACTGCTTACCTGTGATGCTGGTGGTGAAGACCACAGGCTGCTGGTCCTACCAAGACAACTAAGCACACCATGCCTGAAAAAGAAAGGCCTTTCTCTTGAGAAGGAAGCATCAGCTGGGTGAGCCCTTAGTGTGGATGTGCTGGCATCACATACCCAGCTTCTCAAAACCCCTGGCCATTTCAGGGAGCTTCTTATCCAAGCCCTTGAGAGTGCTCTAGGAGGAGGCCTGGGAATGGTTATTTGTCCTTCCTCAACAAATTACCACTAAATTACACCTTGAAACACAATGACTCTTCTTGTCTTGAGCAGTTTTTGTGGGTCCAGAATTTGGGAGCTATGTAGTGGGTGGCTCTAGCTCAGGGTCTCCCCTGAGGTTGATCAGATGTCAGCCAGTACTCAGTCTTGTGAATGACTGACTGGGGCTGGACCGCTGCTCCCAAGTTGGCAGATTGATACTTGCTGTAGCAGGAGGCCTCCATTCCTTGCACATGGCCCCTTCCTAGGGCTGCTTGAGCTTCCTCACAACTAGGCAGTGACTTCCTGGGAGTGCCATCTAAGAGAGAGTGAGGAGGAGGCTATGTGTCTTCCAAGCCCCAACCTTGGAAGTCATACACTGTCACTTCCTCAGTGTCCTGTGTGTGACACAGGTTGACCCTGTTATGTGTGACAGGGGAATACCTGGGTATGGGTGCCAGGAGGTGAGAGACACGGGGCTGTCTTGGAGGCTGGCTCACACCCTTGCCATGTGGTTTTTGATGACTCCTTTCTTCTTGGTCAGGAAGCTGCTGCTGTGACCTATCATGTCTGTGCCCTCTGTCTGGTGACATGATGGCTGGGACGTCTTTACTTGTGGAATAACAGCTTGAGCTTCCCAGTTATTCCATATGCTTTACCCTGATGTCACTTCTCTTCAGAAGCACTCTGGGAAGTGGGGGAGCAGTGGAAAGCCTGGTCTCCATTTTATAGGTTAAAAAAGGGAGCATGCCTCATTTCCTTGTGTGACTGAGAATGCTGTGGCCCCTTCTCTCCAGTCCCTGACATGGTGCCTGCCTCTAGATGTGGGTGTAACTGTAATTTTTTGACATCATAGAAGGAGCAGGGGTCAAGAATACTCAACACTAAAACAAATGTAGCAAGTGTTAGTTGTTGTCAGTTGAGCAGAGGGGTATATGGGTATGGTTTATTATTATTATTATTGTGGTACAATACATTTAATGTAAACGGTTTTATTCTCTTATTTTCAAAATCTTGAGGGGAAGAATGCTCCACTCCACTAGGCCATGGCTCATCTCTCTGTTAGATCGCTTTCCTACCAACAAAACTACCCACCCATACATATACTTCATGGAGATTCTATTAGTTTGAAATGATAAAAACTCAATTCAAAATGTCTTAAGGAGGGAGGATATTACGGGCTCACGTGAGCAGGCACTTGGGAGAAGGTGCCCAGAGGTGTCGTCAGGGCTCTTTTTCATCTATCCTCTGCTTGCTTCTTGGTGGTGTTGGGCTCAGGTCAGTTCTCTTCACACAGTCCCAAGGCTAGCAGGGTTCATACAGCAACTTATTTCACAGAAAATGGCCTCTCTGCTGGCCTCTTATCAGTCCCCATGATGTCCTCTGCTTCTGTGTCAGTTACCTTTTCAGGAAGAAGGTCTTTGTCCAGCCTGGGTCATATACTCCCTGATGAGGGGTGAGGGGAGAACTTGGCTTTGACAGGGACTATGGGGGAGGGGAGACCAGAGTAACATGGGTGGGGGCAGGGCAGAGACTTTACAGACAGAAGAGTTGGCAGGTGCTGCCACCAGGACAGTGTGGATCTGGGCCTGGCCTATTCTTAGGAAAGCCAGGAAGTATTTGGAGAAGTCACACATCCTTTCCCGCCCAATGGGCTTTGCTATTTCCAGAGTCTTGGCTTCAGTGTGGACGAGAAGGTGAATCTTTTGGAGCTGACCTGGGCCCTTGAGAATGAGCTCATGATGGTCGGTGGTGCCACTCAACAGGCAGCCTTGGCCTGCTACCGCCAGGAGCTGAGCTTCCGCCAGTAAGAGCCCAGTGTGGTTGGGGAGGTTGGGGAGGTTGTGGAGGTATAGCTGTCTGCGTTGCCTGGAGGGAAATGGGCAGTCTGCCCTTGTCTACCCCAAGCCAGTCCCAGGGGACAAAGGACTTGACACCACCTTTCCCACTGGCTGTCCTTTAGTGGGCACTCTTGGTGGGACAGGGAAAGAGCTGAGTTGTGAGTGCAGAAGAGGGCTACCTGTGCCTCGAGTGGCATCCTCCTGTGTGGTCTCAGAGGGGCCTGAGGACCCAGTGGCCTGTGTGGTAGCTGCTGCTAGGGCTTTAACGGCCACAGAGTTTCTGAGTCACCAGTCTGCCTTCACACTTGGTAAGAAGCTTAGAAACTGATGTTGAGGTCCTCCCTTAGTTCCTTTTAGCAATATTCCAAAGGGGGAATTTGAACCTGACACTCATCCTGCTGACACTGGAGCTCTCGGGTGCAGAGGCAGAAATCTTACAGTTGGCAGGGATGTGTTCCAAGAACAGGCAGAGGGTCCTGGGCTGGGGCAGCTGGCAGGACAGTAGAACGAAGTGTTCCTCAACATGGTCACCCGGTGCACAATGACAGGGGGCCTGAGAATGCATTCCATTTTAGTTGGGTTCAGGTTTCAATTAGCTGAGTATTCAGGCCATCCATATGCTCAGCAAATTGGCATAAAGATTGTTTTTGTGTTTATTGATGTTCCAAAGCTGCAGGGAAGAAATCATGATTTCCATCCTCAGGATTTTGCATTCAATTAGATGCTGACAGATGAGCTTTCTGACCTCAGGCACTCTCAGAATAGGACCAGAGACTATGCCTTGGGAGGGTGGAGGGAGAAAAGCTCTGTGTTCCTTCAGGGGGATAAACAGTCACCAGAATAGCAAGTGCCAAGGGTTAGTGCATAACCTCATGTGGGGACTGGGGTAAATGGAAAGAGTGAGAGCTACACACACAAATCACATTCTGCTCTAAGTGACTCATCCAGATACCTGGCTGCAGGTGACAGGGTGTGACCAGGCAGGGTGATGGGTGCCAGCCTTCTCTTCATCATGTGTCCAGTCCTGGATTAGGTGTTGGGGATCCCTGGGAGAGGGGACAAGAGGGAGACATGGATAAATTATTACCTGTTCTGGGCTATCTGGAGGTGTTGCACAACATAAGGCTCTACGTTCAGACTTCCTTGGTTCAGAAACCTTCCAGAAACCTTCCTTGACAAGTCATTTAGCCTCTCTCTCAGTATGTGCATCTGCAAAACAGGCATAGTAATTCTGGAAACCACTTTTAGGAGATGGTTAGTAGTAGCAGTGAGGTCAGAGCACAGCACTGCCCATGCGCAGCACCCAGTTAAGGCAGCCCTTTCTATCATTCATGGAGACACAGGGCTTGTTGGGCCCAGAGCAGGTATCCCCCCTCTGACACTGTCTCCTTCGTGTGGCAGGGGACAAGTGGAGCAGATGGCAAGGGAGCGAGACAAGGCGAGGCAGGACCTGGAGAAAGCTGAGAAGAGGAACCTGGAGTTTGTGCAAGAGATGGATGACTGTCACTCTGCCCTAGAGCATCTCACGGAGAAGAAGATCCAGTAGGTCTCGCAGTCATACCCAAGTGCAGAGACATGGCTTCTCAGCAGCTGGGCCATGATTCCCCGGCTCTGGCCAAGGGTGGGTGGTGGATGTGGGTCTGCCACTAGCTGAGGCCATGGTCATGAACATGGTGGAGCTGAGGCCCTCCTCACCTGAGCCAGGAGAAATCTAGAAGGTGCACCTCTGGGGATGTCCTTCCTTGAAATAAGAGGTGTGCATTTAAAATAGTAGCCTTGAGGGGCGCCTGGGTGGCGCAGTCGGTTAAGCGTCCGACTTCAGCCAGGTCACGATCTCGTGGTCCGTGAGTTCGAGCCCCGCGTCAGGCTCTGGGCTGATGGCTCGGAGCCTGGAGCCTGTTTCCCATTCTGTGTCTCCCTCTCTCTCTGCCCCTCCCCCGTTCATGCTCTGTCTCTCTCTGTCCCAAAAATAAATAAAAAACGTTGAAAAAAAAATTAAAAAAAAAAAATAAAATAGTAGCCTTGCTCTTTATGATGTGAGGTCATGGTGCAGGGGCATCCAGCTATGTGTGCCTATGGGCTGCAGGGAAAATTCCTATCCTCCGCTTTACTTATGGGGTCTGTCCCACCCAAACTGTGTCTTCTGTGTGTACCTGTGGCTAGTGACATGGATGAATGTTTTGAGAGAGGGCTGGTGAATGGTTTTAGAACCTGTTGAAAGGAGGTTAATATGGTAGAAGCCCAGAGCCCAAAACGTGACTTCAGGTATTGTAACTTATGATGAGTTAAACAGATCCCTGGTGAGCGGTTTGCTCTATCAGTCACGCTGGTGGCTGGACAGATCAGAGGAAAGGATTTCTGATCTTTTTTTTATGGACACAAAGCCCACTCTCTGGTTTATTAGCCAAAATGTGAAGAAATCCAGCCCCTGAGGATCTCCCAGGCTGGAGCAGGCAAAGAGGAGATTTTCACCCCACTCTGGTGTACAGTCTATGCTAGGCATCCCTGGCAGAGCTTAGCTGGTTATTCACTTTCTCAAAGCTTTTGTCACTTGAAGGTGTCTCCTCAAGTATAGCAAAGGGTGTGTGCTGCGGAAAAACCAGTGTGGTACACTCAGCTTTTGGCAGTGCTAGCGGTGGGGGCACAGGAGGGCTGCCAGCCTCCCCTCCTCATTCTCCCTCAACAGCCCTTGCTGTGATCCTGGGTGGACAGAGTCCTTGAGGTTCCTCATCTGTGAAATGGGAATGGTGAAAGACCATCCTCTGCACAGGAGGGCACAGGTCAGTGTTTTTGAGCTCTTAACAGGTCCTGGTGCATGCAGCCACTGGGCGCATCTCATGCCTATGGGTTAGCGGAGAGTGGGCCTCTGCGAAATGTATGAGGAAGAGAAGTAATAACTCACGTGGCATGTATGGTTTCAGCAAGCAGATGTCTGAGAGCTTGTGACAAGCCATCTCATTCCTGTGCCTCTGGGATGTTGTCTCTCCCTGTCTTGTGTGGTTGTAGCATTTGAAGGTAACACTTTTCTTACACCAGCCCTATTGGCAGTGTGTGTGGGTCTTGTAGCGTGATGTACATGAAGCCCCTTTTACATGGCCCTGGCTGGGCAGCATAATAGCCTTCACAGGGACATTTACCTGCCCCCATCTGCCTTACTGCAGGCTTCTGAGCACCATCCCTAGAAAGGCTTGCTCCTGTCATGCCTGGGGACTATCACAGTCAGTTACAAAGCCCTTACCCCAGGGCCTTGTGGCTCACACTGGGAGGGTTTGGAGGTATCCTGGGGTGCAGCCAGCTTTCCTGGGGCTCTGCAGGTCTGCTGGGTGGCCACAGCAGATGGGGGCTTTCATGACCACACGGGGCCAGTCCAACTAAACAGTGGGGTTGAAGCCCAAGAGCCCATTCCAGTTTATCTTCACCAGAGACACAGTGTCCCTCCGCTGTGCAGCCAGAGATCTCAGGGTTGAGGAGCCAATTGGCCCTCCAGGAAGGAGCTTCTGGCCTGTGAAACTACTGTTACTGTTGTGGTGCTCCTGTTGTATGCCAAGTGTCACCTGAGTTACCAGCCATAGTTACCCCAAACAGGTCATTTTAGCCCCATTTTTCAGCTAAAGAAACTGAGGCTTGCAGCAGTGCAGTAGCTTGCCTGTAATCATGCAACAAGTGTGGCCCAAAATTTGAAGCCAGGTCTCCTCTCTCTTTGTCCTGTACTGTCCCCAAGATAAGAGGGTGTGAGGCCCTGGCCTGTCATGTATTAGAAGTGTGAGAACAGACCATTATGCAGGAGGAGCACTGCAGGGTAGAGAGCTCATCACCTTCCCAGGCTGGGGTCACCTGGAGTCACATATTGCCAACCTAGGTTAGCACATGAGCCCCATCAGCTCACCTTCCCACAGGACCCTTGTACTCAGGGATCCAAGGGAGAGTTGTGGCTGTTACTCCTAGTCTGTGGGGGAGCAGGCTCTGCATGGAGCAGAGCCACACATCTGAGTCTATGGGACTCTAGAATCGCCCTTTCCTTCCTGGGGGTAGCTGGGGAAGGCTGAATGCAGCAGGCTGAGATCCTCGTCTGCTCACCATTGGATGTCCACACCTACTTCTGCCTGGTGTGGAGAAGGAGTATGCAAGAGATGGTGTCAAGGGGCATGAGTGTGAGAGAGTACACGTGCATGTGTACAAGTGTGCACACATGCATACTCACTTCCAACACTCCTGCACAAAAGACTCTCCCAAGATAACGGGAATGTTCAGGAAACCCAAACATTAAGGATCCTTTCACCAAATTTTCAAAAATACTTCCAATCAAACCTGAGAAAAATAAATAAACATGGTTTTATAAGGAGGTGTCAGTAAGGCTGAGGAGCCCAGGGTGGGGAGACTGGCAATGGACACCTTGACTTCTGTGTGGATGTGCTGACTGTGGCCTTGCTGAGCCTCCCTTATCTCAGTGTGGAGCATGGGTGGTGTTTATCACAAAGGAGCGTTTAGTTAGGAAATAACTGCAGTTTGTCTCTTGTCAGCAATTGACTGTCTCTGTTCAGCTGATTCCCTTGTGGCATCCAGCTGCAAGCCGCCCCGCTCACCCCTTCTTGCTGAGCGTGTTCCTGCAGGTGGAATTAGAATGTTCAGAGTGTGGGTGCCTGGGTGGCTCAGTTGGTTGGGTGACCGACTTTGGCTCAGGTCATGATCTCACAGTTTGTGAGTTTAAGCCCCGCATCGGGCTCTGTGTTGACAGCTCAGAGCCTGGAACCTGCTTTGTATTTTGTGTCTCCCCCTCTCTCTGCCCCCTCCCCTGCTCACACTCTGTGTCTGTCTCTCAATAATAAATAAACGTTAAAAAAAAAAAAAAAAGAATGTTCAGAGTGTTGGTTCTTGTAGCTACAGATGTATGATTTTGCTCACCTGTCATAGCCTCCTTAGTTCCCTGACTTCACAAAATAGGATATGAGGTCAGCCTGGGTTTCCACAGAGTGAGACTATTACTGCAAATTAGGAGCTGAAGGAACCTTGGAAGAAGCCAACAGAGCTTTTTTCCTTTCTCAGTACCTCCCCTTTCCTCCTCATGGCTCTTCTAACAGTGTGTTGTTAGACTCACTACTGACTTGGAGACTTGGGATCCCACCTGAGCAGGAGTGGGACTGATCTGGCACCACTGAGACCTTGAGTTGAAGCCTCACTGGGACCCTGGGTGAGAGGGGCCCACAGGGACCTCTCTAGACTCTGGAGCAGTCTGACGCCCACACAACCTTCCTCTGCTGACATCCTGTACTGCAACCTCCCAGCCCTTGGTTAATATTATTCACGGGAGAAAACTCCTTTTTCAAGAATTGTGTCCAAGAGCTAAATGTAAATTGATCTGAGATGATCAGTTTGAGTAACGGAAAACTGATTTGCTTCAGTCACAGTGTGCTAGGCTTGATTCTCTCCCAACCATATGGGAATAATTTTATGATATCCTTTCTGGGGTCAGAGAATCACAAACTCAAAAACCTTATCTCGGTCTGAGAATCTGGTGAAGGGACATGTGAAGGCCCCATGAGTTTGCATTTTGCCCCATGAGTACTGGAGCATTATCAGGAATTTCTAGAAGAGGCTTTTATGGCTGTATTTGGTTTTTCTTAACTGCAAAAGTAATAAATGATACACATTCATTATAGAAAATGCAAGTAAAAGTAAAAATAAAAGCAGAAGTTTCACCCAGAGATTATCACTCCTGACATTTTTTATGTCATTCACTTTTTTTTCCCATGTACCTAATTATTTACAAAATTGTATTATATCACATATGCTTTTGTGATGGCCACAGAGCATCCTGTTATGTGGGTCTACCATATCTTATTTATCCATTTTCCTTTTGCTGGATATTTCACAAGTTTTTAAAGAGTGGAGTGGTATGGTCAAATAAGTATTTTTTAAAAACTACCCCAAAAGTTTGTGGAGTGTTACATTAGCTAGATTCATCTTACTGTTTTCCCCTAAGTAACAGCTGCCCTTCCTCCATTTCCTTTCCCTCCATTTCTTTCCTTAAAGTTTCGGGATGAGAACGAAAGTCCAGACTGTCTAGAGGGGCTGGAGGACAAGCCCCCAGTGTTCTCTTCTTATTATTTTTAAAAAAGTTTTTTTTTAACAGTTATTCATTTTTGAGGGACAGAGAGAGAGACAGAGCATGAGCAGGGAAGGGGCAGAGAGAGGGAGACACAGAACCTGAAACAGGCTCCAGGCTCTGAGCTGTCAGCACAGAGCCCAACGCGGGGCTCGAACCCACAAACTGCAAGATCCTGACCTGAGCTGAAGTTGGACGCTCAACCGACTGAGCCACCCAGGCGTCCCTCAGTGTTCTCTTCTTAATTATTAATGTTGCCAAGCCCTCTGCTGAAGTACGAGTTTTGCTCATCTTCAGTCTAGAGAGACTTGGTTTGAGAGATCCTGCTAAGTGGTTGTTTTAGTGATAAAACTAAGATTTGGCACTTTTTTCTGCTGATAGAACTGGTTCTTTAAAAAGAGTAAGACAGAAACTGAGGTGAAAAAAAATGCCTCCTACCTTGTCCTCTGATTGCTTTGGGATTCACTGTCCCCAGGTTTTATGTTGCCTGAGTCCTGCACTAGAGGCTTACTTTTGTGCGCATTTGGTTATCCAAGGCATTTGATGGCTGCTGTGGTGTGGAAGGCGGCTGAAAGGCAGAGGGCATCAGAGAGGTGTACTCCCAGAAAGCATTCGCTAGCTCACTCCAGAGGGTCCAGGGACCTGCTTGCTTCCCTTGTCACCTTCCCCAGCCCTGAGTGGGGCATCCACCACCAGACCCAGGGTAGGGCGGGATTTAAAGCAGGGCCCCTGCCCTTACAAGATCTGCAGCTTAGCTGAGGTTCAGTGACCCCTTCTGTCAAGCAGGAACAATGGAGTATCAGACAGTGTGGCCAAGTGCTGTGGGCTGGAAGGTTCCAAGGAAGAAAGGCCATGTTGCTTGGGAGATGTCCCTGGAGAGACGGGGGTCAGCATGGGCCTAGGCGGTGCCCCTTGGGACCCAACATGACATATTCCTTGTGTACCATGCAGACACCTGGAGCAGGGGTACCAGGAAAGGCTGAGCCTCCTGCGGTCTGAGGTGGAGAGGGAACGTGAGCTGCTCTGGGAGCAAACCTGCAGGCAGACAGCTGTGCTGGAGAAGGACCTAGAGCGTCTGCGGGGCGAGGAGGCCAACCTACGTGGGAAGCTGACTCTGGCGCTGAAGGTAGGTGGGGAGCTGTGTCTCCCTAGGACATCCTGCATGGAAAGACATGAGGTTGCCTGAGGGTCCATCCTCCCACATCCCACATTTTCCTGGTCAGGGACTGAATACCTCCTAGTGACCTTATTACATTTCTGTGGGAGGGAAATGCCTGCGATTTCCAACTAAGGAACATTTGCTGCAGCCACAAAGATAGGACATTTCTCAGCCAAAGCAAGAAGGGTCCTGGCTTTTCCACAAGACGCATTACCCCTTCCTTCTCTCTGGTTGTGGGGGCACCAGGACAGGTTGAGACCTGTGGGGCTCTTACTCTCTGCTCTGGGTCAGGGGGATGATGGTCATGGAGGGTCAGTGGCAGCGGCCCACTTTGCTGCACACCCTGGAAACCAGAGCATCTGTGGGGTCAACCAAAGACCAAAACCTAAAGCCCACTCTTTGGGAGTCCTGGGTGTGTGGTCTGAAGCAGAGGGAGTTTTCTGGGCTTTGGTGAGTGTCCTGTGATCCACAGCCACCCAGCATTTGATTCCATCCAGTGAGGTGTTCCCTGGTCCATCCTCTGCTTCTGCCTTCCTCTTCTTTTCCTAACTCAGAGCCTGCAGATTCTTTCCACATCTGCCTGGTCTCTGTCTGCCTGGGGGAGAAGCTGGGCCCTTGCCCACACCGTGTCCTTACTGCTCTTCTCCATGATTTTCCATGTCTGTGGGCTCTGCCTTCCTCCCCTGCTGGACATCTGAACTATAAGTGTGTAGTTTCAAATCCCTCATTCAGAAAACAGCTCAGAAAGGATTGCCCCCAGCCTCTTGTGTTACTCATAGCCTTCTTGAGCACTGGGGATGGGAGAAGTAAGAGCAGTGAAGAAAGCGACGAGCACTGGTGAGGGGTTCTGTGGGGTTGGTTCCCCAGCACAGCCTCCTCTCCTGCAAGCAGTGAGCAGCAGACACCTGCATTTGCAGGTTTCTTCCCTGATTGGGAGTGCTGCTGGGAATAAGTTTTTGATGCAGAGAGGAGATAAGCTGCTGACAGCTCTGTCCTCCACCCCCAAAGCCCGGTAAACTGCTGGTTTTTGTCTTGTAGGAAAACAGTCGATTACAGAAGGAGATTGTTGAAGTTGTGGAAAAGCTTTCGGAATCAGAGAAGCTGGTCTTGAAATTGCAGAATGACCTGGAATTTGTGTTGAAGGACAAGGCAAGTCCTTTTGCTGATTCTGAGTCTCTGGTTACTGGGTAAAAAGTGTCAGGGACTTGAATCCATAGGTGACTGAATTCTGTTTTTTCTTACTTAAATTCCAGAATGGAGAGAAAAATCAGCAGATTGACCTTCCTTCTGTTTTCTTCCTCTTCATTGCAGTGCAGGGGTACTAATCTTTTAGTGACAGAGCCAGGGCTCGCCAGCACCATGTGTACAGACCCCAGTGATAGGTTCTCAGTGGTGGGGGGCACAGAAGAGAGCTCCATGCCCACCATGAGGCCCTCCATCTGGCCCTGCCCATCACTTTGGGAGAAGGAGGGGAGTGGAGGTGCTGCATGGAGAGGTCCAGGCAGGGGGCATCCCAGGCAGCTTAGGTAGGAATGCACCCTAGACTCCAGTTAAGAGTATGACCACCTTCCATAAATTCAGAGCATCCTTCTGCCTTGAGATATTTTAAATGAAGGGAGGGAGGAGGAGGAGGGATGGAAGGCTGTACCTGGAGATGCTGAGCCTAGTGGGAGGAACATGATGGGGTGACAGCACACATTCTACCTGGTCTGAGGTCCTATCATTTTTCTGTGTGGGTCTGACTTTCAGCTGGAGCCACAGAGTACAGAGCTCCTGGCCCAGGAAGAGCGGTTTGTAGAGGTCCTAAAGGAGTACGAGCTCAAGTGCCGGGTATGTGCCCCACCTGGCCCCCTTTGCTATCCCAAGCCATCACATTTACTTTGTCTTGCACTGGGACATTGCTTTTGTCTTTGGTGCATGGGGTCTTCATGCACCCCTGCCCTGAACCATCCAGCCCACTTTACAGCAAGGGCAGTGGTGCTGGGGAAGGTTCTGAGAGCTTGGCCCTCCAGAGATCTGGTGCCAGAAGGCTGCGCAGCCTTCTCCTGGCCGTGCTTGCTAAGAGTGGGGTGTTAGAGCCCATGAGATGGATAGATGGTGCAAGTTATCAGGGTCTGACTGGTTCACACCTGGGTGGTAGTGTGTAGGCCTCATACTTCACCCTCCTGCCTGGGAGTGGCCTGTCATTCATAGTGGCCCACATTCCTGACCTCCACATGAAGGATAGTCCAGTATGGGTCAGCAGGAGCATCCGTGTATGAGTAGAGCAAGTGGAGCCTGTGATCTCAGCCTGTGTTCTACTAATGGATCCTCCCAAGTTTCATGTTCTTCAAGGAGAGGTGACCCAACTTGCCTGTGTGGTGCCCATGCTGAGCCCCCCACAGGCTGGCCAAGGCTGATAGACTGGTACCAGTTCTGAAGCCCCCCTCAGTGTTTCCAGGCACCATGCAGGTAGCCAAACCTACCAAGGGCCATCCATTAGTTAGAGACACCGCAGAGCAAGGCATAGGTGGTGAACAATAGGTCAGTGGTGCTGAAACGTATCACACCCCTGTTACACTCTTAAAATGATCCAGGACCCCAACAGATAAAACATTATTGTTTGTTATTAAGGGTCTATGATCAATTCACTTCTTAATGATCTCCCTCCAAATTAAAGTCAGAATTGACTTTGTTCCTGCTGTACATTGCTTTGGCAACACCAGAGGATAAAGGTGAGCCCATGCTGTTCTGGAGTGTGACATGACCCACTGTTTCCTGCCCTGTGCTCTTTTCCTCTGCTCCAAACCCCGATGCCAGGGTACCCTCCTGAAATCCTGTGTTTGTCAGCTGTGTCACCCTCCTCCTGAACCTCCTGCTGTCATGTGTTAGGGTCTGTTGTGCAGGTGGGATTGCAGTCACATGTTGTGTTTCCTCCCTCCCTTTAAGCTTGTTGCCTGGACTTAGAGCCTGTAACTAATCATCAGTTAATACGTTACTTTAGTCCACTGAATCTTTCAAACACCCATAAATCCATCTTTCTTTCATGGGACTCTGTTACTAATTTCACTTTTGGTTCTTAAAATTTGACTTCTTGAAACATCAGAAATATTGAACATATTAGTGTTAATCTATTCAGATATTTGCTTTTTCCATTTTTAAAAATATTTTTGATTGTTTCATAGTAACATTTAGAGCATTAAGAAAACTTTTCATTGGAAAATAATTTCTAATACATGAAGTTACAAAAGTGAAAACAGTGGCAGGGACACCTGGATACCTTTTGCCCATATTCACCTGTTGTTTACATTTTACTCCATGTGCTCGTTGCATGTTTGCTCACTTGTGTGCTGTGTATGGATGTGAATATGTATACACAGTTATTTTCTGAACATCTCAGGGTGAGTGCATCACGGGGCCACTCCACCCCTCTACACTCAGTACACATTTCCGAAGAACAGGCTTAGTCCTGCTTCCTTGCAGTGGTGTGCATGTGCACAGAGTTGATTGTTCAGTGTTCAGGAGTTTTGCCAGCTTCTTGCTAAACCTTTGATAGCTTGAAATCAGCTCTTGTGAGAGTTATTTACACCACAGAAATGTGCAAAAGCCAGAAATCTGGGCTTTTCTTCCGGAAGACCCAGCTTCCCATTCCACCTAACTGTGACACACTTATTAACTTCATGATTCCCACAGATACAATACCTTAACCTGCTGGTTGTATTTCAGTTTTTTTAGTTAACCTACAGGATCCATTGTAGGGTCCGATGTTGCCTTTAGTTGTCTGTGTAAGGTCCTTCAGTCTGAAACATTATGTCTTAGGCTGTTCGGGCTGCTACAACAAAAACGTCATAGATGGGGAAATTATAAACCAGATTTAGTTCCCACAGTTCTGGAGGTGGTGTTACTGAACTCAAGTGGGCCTGCTCCTTTGGTGAGATGCAGACAGAGACTACGCCAGTGGAGCTGCCTCACAAGCTTGCTTTATTTGTAGGAATAGGGAGATAATGGGGAGTAATTAAAACAGCCAAACAAGGGAAAGCAGCAGGCTCCTTTTACTGGGGCTCGGGATCAATATTCAGAGAGGGATTTTCACATTATAATGAGGCTGAGGTAACTGTCCATCACTTTTTTTTTTAATATAATTTATTGACAAATTGGTTGCCGTACAACACCCAGTGCTCATCCCAACAAGTGCCCTCCTCCATGCCCGTCACACACTTTCCCTTCTCTCCCACCCCCCATCAACCCTCAGTTTGTTCTCAATATACAAGAGTCTCTTATGGTTTGCCTCCCACCCTCTCTGTAACTTTTATTTTCCCTTTCCCCTCCCCCATGGTCTTCTGTTAAGTTTCTCAAGATTCCCTTATGAGTGAAAACATGGTATCTATCTTTCTCTGACTGACTTATTTCACTTTGCATGATATCTTCTGGTTCTATCCATGTTGCTGCAAATGGCCAGATTTCATTCTTTCTCATTGCCAAGTAGTATTCCATTGTATATATAAACCACATCTTCTTTATCCATTCGTCAGTTGATGGACATTTAAGTTCTTTCCATAATTTGGCTATTGTTGAAAGTGCTGCTGTCTGCACTCTGGCCTCCTCAAGTTTTGTTTTTTGTTTTTGTTTTTGTTTTTTTCTGATTGATTGATTGACTGATTGTGAGGATGAGCCCGGGAAGGGCAGAGAGGGAGAGACAGAATCCCAACCAGGCTCTACACTGTTAGTGCTGAGCCCGACATGGGGCTTGATCTCATAAACCGTGAGTTCATGACCTGAGCTGAAATCAAGTGGGATACATAACTGACTGGGCCACCCAGGCACCCCAGTGTTTCTTTTTCTAGCAGTTTGTTAGTTTGTTTTTAAAAATTTTTTAAAGTTCATTTTGAGAGAGATGGAGACCTCAGGTGCAGTGGGAGGGAGAGGGGCAGAGAGAGAAGGAGGCAGAGAATTCCAAGCAGGCTCTGTGCTGTCAGCCAGCACAGAGCCCGATGCGGGCTTGAACCCACAAAACTGTGAGTTCATGACCTGAGCCGAAAACAAGAGTCAGACACTCAGTCAGTTAAGCATCTGACTTTGGCTCAGGTCATGATTGCACGGTTTGTGAGTTTGAGCCCCGCATGTGGGGCTCTGTGCTGACAGCTTGGAGCCTGGAGCCTGCTTCAGATTCTGTGTCTCCCTCTCTCTCTCTCTGTCTCTCTCTCTCAAAAATAAGCATTAAAAAAATAAAAAATAAAATAAAGTAAAATAAAATAAAATA